AATGTTTTTGTCATGGAGACATAAAAGCCTAAACATAAGGCACTTCAGACTGTTTTTTTTTTGCTTTTTTCAAGAAAGATATAATTGAGGGTCATTATTGTAATTTAGACTGCATTTCTGGAGCATTTCTTCCCAATTCTTAGCTTAAAGTGCAGCTAAACTGTATTGCAATAGAAGACACATTATTTTCTCTCAGATCGTCAGGGTTAAATTTTTTCTATAAATTAAGGCTAAGCCTAATGGTGAGGTCTGTGGAAATGGCACTGTTGAGCAACTCGGGCAGTCCTTGTATTTGTCAAATATTTGTGCTCTCTGGGCCCCTTCCAGATTCATGCCATCAGGAGGGGGTCCCCTGCTCGGCCCTTGAAGAGTAGTGGGGCAAGTGTGATCGAGTGAGACAGAAGTGGCCCTGTAGACTCCCAGAAGAGGTTGTACAAAAGTTACAAATCCACCCTCCTTTGTGCTCAGGACGCTCTCTGCTGGACCCCAGCCACTGCCCTAGGTGGGGCTGCATGGCCAGGTCACATGCGATATTCCAGCCCATTGCTCCAGATGAGTTCTCAGCTGATGCCAGCACCCATAGGTGGGCAAGGGAGGAGCCTACCAAGGATTTCTACACCTACCCAACCAAACTGGAAATCATGAAAGATTCCCATCCACTCTCCTTTGGATCCTACCCTGCACAAATGTTCTTCCTCCTCCTCAGAGGACATGATTGCTTTAGGGCTCATAGAGAGTGCTTGAGTATTGCACATGCTGACAGCCCCTTCCTTGTTCCTGGGAACCAGATAAAGGCTGTGGAGGTGTCCCTGAATTGCTCTAGTCCCTCCTTCTAACTGGACCCTGCTGATGGGGTTTGTGCAAGGGTAGAGAAGAGTAGCAAGCTGGAATTGGAAGGCAGAGACCTACTCAGACTGGTGGGACCTGAATCAGAATAGGAGAGACCAGGTCCCTGGAAACTTGCCCCCCCAGGGGCCAATGGTCAAAATGTCAGTAAGGGGCCAGCAAATAACTTTTGTGGAGGACATAGGAGCATGACATTCCATTGTGACAACCTTGATAGCACCCTTCACAAAGAGGAATATTACAATCATAAGGGCTATGGGGATTTAGACTGCACACCCATTCTGTCAATCATTAACCTACTGGCTGGGGGGGGGTCATGAAGTAGTACACCAATTCCTGCATCTACCTGAGTGCCCCATTCCCTTTATTGGAAGACACTTGTTGATTAAAATCAGGGTTCAGATAACCTTTGCACCTGAGGGACTTACTAGCCTGTCCCTTGGTACCTAGGAAAACCTAGTCTCAGTCCCCAGAGAGGAATGGAAATTATGAACAATGGATAGAAAAGAACAGAACCCTCCACTGATGTTGGAGCCATACCCAGAAGTATGGGCTGAGAAGTCCCTGTCCTGAATGGCCAAAAATCAGGCTCCAGTACTGGTGGAACAACCCCTACCAGGCTAAGACAATATGCCATATCTAGGTAAGCACAGATCAGAATCCTGGAACACATCAACCAACTAGGAACGCAAGAGAGTGTCCATTGTACACACTCAGAGATACCAAAAAGGGCAAGATGTCATAACAAGGTGAAATCAACTGGCAGATCAGGCGGCAAAAGAGACTACACACCAGAATGGGTCACCTTTACCCTTAAGATACCCAAATTGCTACTGATATGTGACTGACCTAAGGAACCACTACAGTATACCTCAGAAGAAAATCAATAGACTTGAAATGAAGGAGCTCGCAAAGGTCCAGGAATGCAGTAGTGTTTACAAGACCAGAGGACTTTCATTCCTCAAGGAATGGCATACTCTTTCACTAAACACCACCATGGCCTCATCCACTTGGGAAAAACTACACTGCAGATGCTTCTCGGTCAATAATACTATGTCCCCAGATGTCTTCTCTCTGCATCACAGTTGCTAATTGATGTCAACTCTGTGTCTGAAATAATGCCCTCAAATGCCTTCGTTCTGCTGCAGGACTACAACACACTGGAATCTCACTCTCTGAGAAATTACAGGTAGATTT